AATCCGGACGAATATAGGCAAATGTGTTTGAGTGTATGAGCGCATGGGTCTTGAAAACTACCAACGTTAGAGTTAGAAAAATTGGTATTTGGGTTATAGTTCAACTTTCTAACTATGCCCAAAATCTAATTATGCACCAATTATTAATGAAACTAGAGAATATTCCAAGAGACAATAAGCCCCAAATTTGGTTGCCTTCTTTTGATAAACAATACAGCTTTTTGGACGTAAAGCCATTTTTGCTAAGGCAGCTATAAAATAAAGTGCTTCCATTTTGAAAATACATCCGAATATGGAATTAGTGATAGCAGTTATGTTCAAATTAGGGGTAACAATTGGCAGTACTGGCAGTCAAGCATCGGCGAAAAGAAAGTAAGCCTCTGAGATGCGTTTCTTTCTCTGAGGCGCCCAACTAAATGAATTTGTTACGATATCGAAACAAACCATATATATAGTTACTTTGTTTATTCTTAAGGAGGGCTATATTAAAATTTGAGCCTATATGTATGATAAACTTGTTCTGCATAAAGATGAGACAAGTCTTTATGCCAAGTTTGGCATCCGTAGCTGTTATAGTTCAAAAGTTATCGAGGTTCATACAGACGGACGTATATATAGACCGATTCAATTCGATAGTTGATGTCTGGCACTCTTTCTTCTGCCAGCTTAGGGCAACACTGAAGCAATTATATTGTTACACATTATAGGCTATATAAGTTTCTGCCCATATTGCTTTGTTTAGCATTAATCTTTCACAGTTACAGAAGAGTTTATTCATTAATTTTTTTTTTTTTAATAAAAAGGTAAACAGAGAGCGAGTGAAAACATTTTATCAGAATGGTGTTCGCTTATCAAATCGGAAATATCGACTCACTCGTATATAGTATAGCTACTGGCAGGGTGGTTGAGAAAACTTCTGTGAGTCACAACATAAATATGACTTAAAATTTAACTGATATTTGTTGTTATTTACCCATTTGTGTTAAGTCACCCATATTTGCAATATCCACTCCTCTGTCTCCCCATCACCCCACTCCGATTGCAACCGTATCTGATGGTGTGGAAAGCATAGAAGAAGCGAAAAAGAGCAGCAACTCAATATTATTTATGGCATTATTCCAATACACATTATGTATGTATGTATGCCAGTACGGCACCCGGCGCAAGAAAATCGGGTCAGCACGAATGCGAATGGGAATGGGAATGCGTGGGGTCACCAATTGGTTGATTGGCCAATCAGCATTGCAGGCCGAGCGGAGATGCCAAGACAGGTTAATTAACGATTCGCACTAATTAGTCGCCTAGCTCTGGACCGTGAGTGTCGCTTCAATTCGATTCAAATTGTGCAATAAAAAATATGAAAGAGATAAGAGTGAAGAAAAAAAGAAAAAAGTCGAACAAAAGACAGCAAAATTGCACACAAAAAAACACACACACCTACAATATAGATTTTACAATGCGCCGTGAGTGGAAAAATTAGACATGTTTTGCCATCGAATGACTAAACAGAGCCATGGGCTATAGACCGACTATATGTACATACATATATATTAACTCGTATACTTGTACTTGTATGTTTGTATGAGAGGGGCAGTTTTGTATTTTTTTTTATTATTGTTTTTTTTTTTTTTTTTTGTTAGTTCGTTAGTTGCTTAGTTGTAGCTGAATACGGTTAGTGCGCTAGTTAGTTGTTTCGAGTTGAGTTAGTACGGTATATTTGTTATAGTATGTATCTACTTGTATTGATGGCTTCGTCGAACGCATCAATCACTCACCCATGAATTATCTCTGAACTGTGACATGTTTCGCAGGGACCTGGGCAGCGGTTTTGCCTGCGAACAGCTGCACAGAAGACGACGAGAAGAGTTTCAAATGCAATTGCCGAATATCGTAGTATCGAAGTATTGAAGTATTGATGTATCGTCGTATTGTTGCAAAACCAAACAATTATCAAAATTATGCCAATTCTTACATATTCGCCAATAAGTATTTCAATTATTGCTGGCAATTCTCTGCTTTTGATTTGCTTGAATTTAACAATAAATATAATTTTAGAAAACAATTGATTTCAATTGCTTTTAGTTCTTCTGTTATGTTTTCTATCAAATCTATTTATTTTAATTTTTTTTCGTGTTATTTTTTAAGGTGTTAGAAATAACTTGCTTTATTACTGAGTCCCATATATATAAATATAATTATTCACATAAATTTGTTGCTTTTTGTTGAAGTTCTTGTATTTAGGTTCTCTTATTTTTATTTATTTTAGATTTGTTTTATTTTCATTGAACTTTTAAATGCACATCAAATAGGATCTACATTTTCAAATATTTCAAAATGTTTATCATTCATTTAATTGAGAACTTAAGCTTTTATTTCCATGACATACTTGTACCCTTACTCTTTTAAGCACAAGTAGGGGATCGAAATATCTTTGCACAACAATGTTAGTGGATTTTATCGACTGTGGCTATTATGTAAACAATATTTAAATTTCATAATAGGCGTTCAATTCTTGGTTTGCAGTTGTATGAGACAAGTCTACAGGCCAAGTTTTCTGTCCCTTGCTCTTATGGCTCAAAAGTTCTAGAGGTTCATACAAACGGACGTAGGGATAGATAGCGAGATCTATATTAATTCATCGAGTGTTCGATTTGTACCGATAACATAACTTTTCCTGCCATTCTTTAGTACACCCCTCCTCAGCTCTCTGCTAAATAATATTATTTAAATTTTCAGGCCCTAAGAATGTCTGCCAATATCGATTTATATTTATAATAGGTTTTTAATTCATGCTTTCTTCTTATTTCTTTTTTAATAAGTAATGTTACTTTTTCACTTTTTTATAATGTTTATAAAGTTATTGCAATCCAAAAAGCAAAGTTTGAGGCATTAGTTATACATATATCTTTATCAATTTTATTTTTATTGTCATAAGTATTTGTCAATAAATGTTTCATGGCTTCAATTTAAGCAAAAATGTTTTCGACTACTTTATACAATTAGTTTACTCAGTGGATTCAACTATTTTGTGGTAGTTTTAATTCAAGCTTTAGTTTGTTGTTATGTATTTTTAGTTGATACATTTTTTTGTACAAGTAGATATGCGGCATCTACTTTCGTTTTCCTTCTGCTTTGGCGCTCGTGTTTTTAATTTGCAGTTTTAGGTTCGTCTTGGACGGCTTATGGTTTATCTAACCATTTTGTTAGCTAAGCTGCACAAACACAGACACACACACACACACACACAGACACAGGCACAAACATAGACTTGCTGAGGCTAAATGCAGCAAAGCGTAACGCAATGTTAAACAAAATAAGCGCCAAAGCATACGAATGTACTTTTGTATCTGCTGGTGTTTTTGTTATTACTATTGTTGTAGTAGTAGTTGTTGTTGTTGTTGTTGTTGGCGCACGCACTCAGCCGCAACTTAGCATTATAGTGTAAAGCAAAGTAATGCATCAACGATATGTTTGCATGTGGATGGATGTGGACAACAAGAAACATACACAGACACGGACAATGAATGTTTTGTAGCGCTTTTTGGCACGCTTTTTGGTGCAATACTTGTTTGTTATTTAAAATACATATATATATATATTTTATTATTATATTCATTATTAATTACATTTGCCAGTAATTTCGATGATTTTATTTCAGTAACCAAAAAAAAAATAAATAAAAATATAACAAAACCACAAATAAAATCAACGCGTTCACAAAAACCAAAACAAAAAAGAAAACTAACAACAAAATTCCAAAAACGATCGTCAACCGTCTCGCTTCTCGTGGCAATGCGATGCGATGCGCACTCTTTGACTCTGCGCCGCTTACTGAGCTCAAACGATGAGCGAGCAGCACCGCCAGCCCCAACCATCATAGCCCCAAAGCCTACAACGAACCAACCAACCAACCAACGAACCAACGAACCGGCGAACCAACCGACCGGCGAACGTGCCGAGCTACGAACTTTCTAAATGCTTTTTGATGCTCTCTTCTAGACTCTTCGTTTGATTTGGTTTTCGCGCACGATGTCAGGGTAAGAGCAACCACGATCCATGAGCGAAGAGAGAGCAGTTGCTTTAGTCAAGCCAGGCACCAAATTGCAAGCTCCAGCGTGCTTTAAAGCTTTGTTCTCCCATGTGCAGTGCACACTTCTTAAGACCCTCTTTTTTACGCCTTCAATTTAATTTAGGCGGTTCTTTCAAAAACGAAAACTGATTTCCAAATTTTGTCTATAATCTGAATTTAATTTATAATTTAATAACAAATAATTTGAACAAAATTCATTTGTTATTTACTTATTTTTTTTGTGAGTCATTCAATATATGAATAAATATGTATATATGTATAAATATTTTTTGTGATATATTGTTATAAGTAGGTCAGAGGAAACCATCCTTAAATATGTAATATGAATTATAAATTAATGTAAATAGAAATTATTACGAATATAATTTAAAACTTTGTTCACTCAAGCTCCTATACTTTCTGAAATCTGTGGATCCATACAGGCAGACAACCGAACAATGGAACATCCAGAAATTACTTAATGGGATTCATTATCATCGGGTCTTCTCTAATGGATGGTGAAACGAGTGAGTAACAATTATTTATTATGATTTATTTTGTTCCTTCACCTTGCCAGTTGGGGTTTTATTGAAACTCTGGAGTCGGCTATTTGGATGCTTGACTAAATATTAATTTATTTGCGCTTTAACATTGCATTTTTGCATTTACAGTTACACATTAGTTAATATAATTTTGTACAATATACGACACTTGTAATCGATGTCAGAGTTGGACTTGCTTCCCACTATTACTATATGGTTGGGTATCTGAATAATATTTATATATATATCGTTTAGGTACTGCTGGATATTCTGTGCTTTGCCGAGAATTTGTGACGCCTAACAACCGATTGTATGCAAATAGCGATGGATGCGGTCGCCCACGAAACTGCTGTATCAAAAAACGAAAGGAAAACATTAGTTAGTTGAGCCTATTTATAGACTGGATTGGCGATGAAGGCGTACCCGAAATTCTTGCCGTTGGCACTTGACTTGGCGTAGAGCACTGCCATTAGTAGAACCTGTCCGGCAATGAAGAGCTCGCGCTTTCCACAGCTTGTCCAGTTGGACTGGTGGTTTGCTGGAAGGAACTCACGAATCTCCAAATTTCGTTCACGTCGCTCTGAATTTTGTTTTGACTGTTCGATGTTGCGCTCATTGAGCCGCTGCTCTTGTAGCTTGTAGTCCCTGGCCTCATCACGGGCCTCCATGTGTTCCTCACGACGTTCTTCACGACGCTCTTCATGACGTTCTTCACGACGCCCTTCACGACGTTCCTCGCGTCGCTCATTTACTCGTCGTGCCATGTCTCGATTGTGAGTTCGCTCGTTGTCTTGTCTGTAAACCAGACGTTCATCGTATTGTTCCTGTCTCCTGTCATCAGCAGTACGAAGTGATTCTGTGTTTCGTGTTAATGCACGAATTTCGCGGCGTTCAAGCTCTCGTTCGTTACTCTCTCGTCGGTGGTCAACTCGAACTGGCTCTTGGCGCCTCTGAATTTCACGTTCATTGCGTCGTTCTTGGTCTCGCTCCTCTCGACGTTCACCTTCCTCCTCTCGACGCTCATCTCGACGTTCTTCTGCACGTTCCATGCGGAGCTCTACTCTTCGTTCGTCTTCTCGATCTTCTTGGCGCTCAACTTGTCGTTCCTCTGCCCGCTCGTCTCGACGATCCTCTTTTCGTTCCATACGGAGCTCTACTCGTAGTTTCTCTTCTCGCTCTTCACTGCGGTCATCTCGCCGTTCCTCTGCACGTTCAACACGGCGTTCGTCTCGTCGTGCCTCTTCTCGCTCCATGCGTCGTTCATCCTCGCGCTCCATTTGGCGGTCCTCCCGCCTGCTTTGCTCTCGCTTCAATTGGCTTTCTTGTCGCCGATCCTGCTCTCTCTCCAATTGGCGCATTTCCCTTGGTTCATCCTCTCGCTCCAAACGGCGTTCTTCTCGTTCAGGCTGCTCTCGCTCTTCTTGCACACGTTCCCGACTGACGCGCTCTTGTCGTTGGCGCTGCTCCCTTCGCAAGCTATCCTCTCGTCGCTCAATTCCGCTTTCTCGGACTCGTTCAGTTTCTTGTTCCCGTCGTGATATTTCACTTTCTTCGCGACGCTCGGGCACTTCTCGTTCTTGCCTGCTTTCTTCACGACGCACTTCAGCTCGTCGACTACTGTCCACAAAACGGCGTTCACCTTCTCGCTGCTCGCGAATATTTCGTCGGTCTTCCCTTCGCTCTTGCCGATTGCTTTCACGTCGTGCCGTTTCTCCTCGCCTCGCAACCTCACGAGTATGCCTAGATTCGCGTTCTTCTCGACTGAGTCTTCGTTCGGCTTCTTCCCGCCTAGCTCTGACCTCTTCTCGTCGCTCATTGCTCTGACGCTCAAGCCGATCGATTTCACGCCGAGAAACCTCACGAGTAAGCTTAGTTTCGCGGTCACCTCTGACCTCTTCTTCTCGACTAAGCCTTCGTTCCAGCCGATTGCTCTCACGTCGTTCGGGCTCTTGCCGACGAGCAACCTCACGTTCAGCTCTAACCTCTTCTTCTCTCCGCTCTGTTGCTTCTGGACTAAGTCTTCGTTCATCGACTTGTCTATAAACGAGACGTTCGTCGTATTCGTCCATTTCGCGTCGTCTATCATCTGGCATTCCCGACTTCTGCTCTCTCGCTCGCCGCTGGCCTAGTCCTTCCAAACTGTCACTCCTACGCTGGCTGCTCTGCAGCAGCGCCGAAGCACTCAGCTGGACGGCCAAGAATATGGCGCCGAGTATTAGCCATCGCATGTTGGACGACATGGTTTCAGAAGATGTTGTGCTTGTTTGTCTAACTCGGAATAGACTGAAGATCTGGAACTGTTGGCTGTGGCTTGTGCTACTCCGTCAAGCCTTGGAACTGAACTGCTTTTCACTGCGAAAGCGTGCAACTTTTATACAGAAATCCGTGGAGCCGCGAAGCCGTTAACGCCCACGCCAAAGGACTGCTGCCACTGCGATACTTCCCTTTGAATGAACTTCAATTTGTCGCAATTGATTGATAGAATTTCCTTTATCGCACATGTGCACCACTGCCTGGACTCGGCTATTAGCCTCTACTGACATCGTTGGGCACTCAAGTGCGTCTAATTTGCCAGTTTTATGAATGAAGCTCTGTGGACTACGTTGCCGTTGTGACGTCACACGTGACGCAACGCCAAATCAATTTTAAATTCGATTCAACTCAGTCCTTGACACTGACTGCCTATATACCCGTACTTACTGCTCTCTATATCCATTATCCTTCTCATATATTGCGGCAGGCCTGAACTGTGAACTGTGGATGGTGGGTGGTAGGGGAGGAGACAGCGAATGGCGCGCGCTCGCTAAACGCATTTGGTGCACATTTGCGATAAGAGCCATCCAATCAAAACCAATTGAAAACTAATGAGAGCATTATGTAGAGCAGCCATGCAGAAATATAAGTGCATGGAATTGGATTAGCGGGCATTAAATTGTCTATTGACAGCCATGCTGGCTGTCTAGTTACTGCATTTGTTCTTTAATCATCAAAAGCGTATTATACGTATTAAATGCATTAAAAGTAATCATTAAACATATTTTCTTTTTCTACTATAAGCATTAGAAGTACTTGTAGTATTACAAGTATTGCCTGCCTAATAATATATCGTATTGCTCTGACAATGTGAAAGGTAAACAAATACTTGAAGCACTGCTCAAGCAGCTATAGAACTCGTTTTGAAAACATAAAAGAAGTTCGGAAATAGTTATACCAAAGAAAAAACTATTCCGGTCTTAGTAACTACATATATCTACCAAATATTCTTAGATATTTGCCCTTCAAATACTTATTTGATTGCAAATAATTTTATAAAATAATAAAATATCAGTGATTCTTTTCTGTGACAGACAAGTAAAATTGCTAAATTTTTTCCTCTAATAATTTTTACTACTACTCCTATATCTATGTACTTATAAAAGTTTAACGTATTGGTCCGATTTTTTAATCATATCTTCCTTGAACATGAACAAGAAATATCTGAAAAAAAAAACATATTTTCCAAAATGAAAACTACTTCTTAAAGCGTGTTTCGTATTTCCTTCAAGCTTACCTATTGACCTTTATAGTTTGATTTAATGTCTATCTGTATATTAATTCCTTATTTCATTATTTGAAACAATTTTTTGGTCCTACATTGACACGAACGCCCCAATTTTTGTTTCAATTGTCTCTTAAAACCGTAATATTGATGAAAATATTGCTTAAATTATATTAATAAATACCAGAAGTTGACCTTTGACGTAAGGCAAAAAAATTTACCATGAGCACTAAACGGATGTAGTTGTTGAATTTGTGTAAAAATTCAAAGAGTTGCGGGAGTTACTTGTCGTTTCAATCTGGGGCTTAATCTGATCTAACAATCAACCAATTTCAATAAGTTGCAGCTTTTTATTTTCAAATAGTTATCATTTTTATTTTCTTTAAATTATTCATAAAATATATAATATATATCATAAAATATAATTTCATTTTTAATGTAAAACATTGTAAATATTGTATATATGTACATAGATATAAGTGCGTCCTATAGATGCTTACTATAGACAACTTTTGTATTCCCAAACTTTCAATTAGCTTAAGCTGCCATATTGGTAGTAGAAAACTAGTTTAATAAATTATATATACATATTTTACAAAAAAAAAAAAAAAAAAATTAAATTATTCGTTCCACTATTATTTGCAACTAAGAGTAAGCTTTGCCATTTTCCAATTCCAATAAGTTGCAGGCTTTTATTTTCAAATAATTATCATTATTATTATGAATTGCTACCAAAAGATGTCTTTATTTTTTTCCTCCCTTTTAGCATTATGTGTATTATCTGCATCTGAAAAGTATGCTATGATTTTTTCACTTCGCAAAGAAAACTTCTTTAGGCGGAATTCTGATCGCTTTAATGGCTAGAGCGGATTTAATTACGAAATCTGGCCAGAGAAACAAACGAGCAACTTTCCCTTAAATTATAAGGACCCTTACACCCCTAGCAGACGCATTAAAATAAAAGTATAAGTTCGCGACCAAAAACGAAAGCCAATTTATTTGATCTTAACTTAAAATTTGTAAATAGGTAGAGCACCGTGTGTGTGTGTGTTGGTGTGAATAGTGTGTACAGAAGAAGAAGTAGAAAGTGAAGATTTTGTGTATTCCCCCAGTGTGGTCTTGTTCTTGTTGTTGTCTGTTAGCAATTGCAATAGCAAACAAGAAGTAATCGACAGAAGAAGATAGAGTATTATAGCTGGCCCTGTTCTGGATCAGCAATTAGAGCAATAGAGATCTGCTGCTTGGCGTTGAGCTCAGAATTTGCGTCTCCGCGGGGAGCCCCAGGGATAGGGTAACTGCTGGTCGTCAGTTTCGCTGTCCCCTCCTCCATTTCTTACATTGCGCAGTTGAAGCTGTCGCTGTGCTGGTTTGCTATTCACGAGTATGTGGTTGGCTTCAAAGAATCCCTGATAGATCACAAAATGGTTGCTCTGAGGCACGGACCTCTCCAATTGGTAGTGCTTGTTCATGAAACCAGCCATCTTCCCCGACGGCCGATCGATGGCACACTGCACGGCCGACCAGCCCATATCGGCGAGCATATATTCGAATAGGCGTTTGCCCTGACCAGTACGCTGGCAGGATTCATGAACATAGAAATCGAGTATCGAGGGTGCCTGCGACACATTCCGCATAGCGCCATTGACATCGAACAGGAACAGCTGCTTCAGTCCAACCTTCAGCATACCACACACCTGGCCGCGACGTCCTCTCCTCACATTGGCCAACAAGTATACATACTGATTGGGGGCCTCGCGCACCCGTCCCGCTGTGGTCACCGGAGACCGCAAATCCTGGGCATGAGCCGACAACACCCCCATGACGTTCAATATCTCGCTGACCTGTGCGATCACTTTGCAGTGCTGGTTCCGGCCCAGTACCGTGCCCATGGGCAGCAGATCATTTGTAATCTTGATCACAGGCTGACGAAACAGCTGATCCAAGCTGAATTGAAAATCCGCCATCTCTCTCTGCAATAACCTTAACTAATCGAGAATGGCAAGCATTTAACTGCACGGAGACTTACCGTTGCTCAAGGAACGTTGGTTAGGCCGAGTTGTTTGGGAAACGTAAGAAAAAGTAAGTCGAATTTTTCCTAATTTACCTGATCTGTATTGCCCGACAATCTAGATGGGAATACTTATGTGCCAGAGAATAAGTTATGAATTGAATGAGAAGAATACGAGAAGTCCTTTCTGCATACACTATAAGTACTATATAATGACATAATGCAGCGATTTTAGAATCTGCCACATAAGAATTTACAAGAATGGCTTCCGAATATCGTGAGGCATTAAACAGAAAGCAATCAATTAATCGCTTTCATCTTGATTAGCAAACAATACCCTGTACCTCACTGATAAACAAAAAACAAAGTAAGTTTAAATATTAACGCGTAGATTTAAATATTCTTACCAAGTGGTGCACACTTAAATTTCAAGTTGAATATTAAAATATTTAATTTAGAGCGTGACGATATTTAATCACAAATGCTAATGGGGACGTGGGTTTGTTAATGACAAAGACTTACACATTGTTTTGAATATTATTCATATTTAAATCAGTAATTGAATATGTTTGATTTGAATATAAAATAGAAGAACATTAAATTTAATATGAAAATATTCATCTGTACCATGTGTGGAAAAATTAAATAAATAAATTGTAAAAAAAAAACTAACAAAATTGGGAGAAAGAAATGCACTAAACAAAGATGTAAAAAAAGCAGAACAAACAATTTTTGATCGAGGGATTACTTTACTTTATTACAAAATTTGAATAAAAAAATTTCCAAGAATCATCGATGTTGTGGTAGATCCTTAGAAATATCGTTATATTGTTACATAGATTTACGATATTGTGGTCCCGTTTGATCATATGTACAATGCTAGAAGCAACCGTTGGAACCTCAATTTATTCACATCCTAAATAAAGTTCGTTCATATTGTTTATTTGCTGGCCTTCTAGCGACGCCTAATCCAGCATTGGCTACCAGGCGAACATAAATGAGCAGAAGGCAAATGCATGGATTGTTTATTTAAAGTTAAGCAGCTGATTTCTGTTTACATTTCGCAAAGCACCGTAAGGATCGTTTTTGTTTACATTTAAAGTGCAACCAATGGGAGAGCTCCAATTTGCTTACTTTTCGAAAAGCAGCTGATTTTTGTTTACATTTAAAAGGCAGCTTGTTTACTTTTTGGAATGCACCGTAAGGATCGGTTTGCTTACATTTGAAATGCAATCAATAGGAAGACCCCAGTTTGTTTACATTTCGCAATACATAATTTGAGTCACAGCCGGCTTGTTTACTTGCTGATCGTCTATGGTCGCCTGGTATATGGGTACATTTAGTGCATGGAAATTGAATATACAAGAACCGAAAAAATTAATTCCAAACCAAGCTGACCTTCTACCGACGCCTAAGCCACTTTTTTCTACCAGGTGAACATAAATGCGAAGTAGGCAAATGCATTCTTTGAATATTTAATGTGGAACAGCTGCTTTTTGTTTACATTTCAAATGCAGCTTGTTTACTTTTCGCAAAGCACCGTAAGGATCGCTTTGTTTACATTTAAAATGCAACCAATAGGAGAAATAGAAGTTTGTTTACTTTTTGCCTTGTTTATACTTGTAGTATTTATAATTTACAAGTACATCGCAGCCGGCTTGTTTAATTGCTGCTCACTGCATGGAAATGAATAGATACATAGCTGTGGCGTTATTAAATAAATAAATCAGTTGCACTGGCTTGATACAAATTAAAGTATTGAATTTTGATTGAACTAAATGATATTGTAGGATATGTTGGCATCAAAAGGACAGAAAACAGAATATGCCGCACGATTTTGGAGAACGGCAGGTAACCTGGAAAATCTGGAAATCGTGTAGATACAACTAATGTTGTATCAGGTCTAATAAATTGCAGAATATCAATGCTGTCCTAAATATGAATTAAATGAAGACCCATCCTTGTTGGTAACAAATCAAATTTTATTTTACACACTTTACAAAAGGTCTGAAGAAAGCGAACATGCCAAAACGATCTGGGGGCATATACTAGAGTACATCGCAGTGCGTGACGATAACTCGTTTACTCATCTTGCCATTCCGGGTGCCGTAGAGCTCCATGCTGTGGATGATGCGAGCGCCGCGCAAGACACGTCCGAAGCCCACACGTTTGCCATTCAGGACGCGCAACGGCTTGAAGCTGATTGTAAAATTTAGAATGGCACCGGGAAAGCCATTTAGGCAATAGTCCTTGGCGCAGGACAGCACGTAGCCCTGGCGGCCGTGATCGATGACGCGTGTATCGAACTCGATCGGACCCTTCAATGGCGTCTTGTTGCCCTGCAGATAGCAGTCCATCCACAGCGTCGGAAAGATGCGACGCACCGAGAACTTGTGCGGCTTGTGACTCATGCACTGCCGTATTAGTTCCAGGACAATGAGCGGAGCGGCTTCAGTATAAAGCTGGAAGACGACAACGCCCAGAGGTCGGCCATCGACGGAGCCGAAATGGAGGACGATGCGCGGGCGCAGCAGTCGCGTCAATTCGATTTTATCGTCCGGCATTTCCAGATCCCAGCCCGCATACTTCGAGAATATCTCCTTCTCGTCCTTGCCCTCGTGAACGGCACTGTACACGGACAGACAGAGTTTGCTGTCGGACTCGGGTCGACGCTGGTAGCTGGGCGAGAGCACCAGCGACGAGTACGGCGTTGGAGCACAGCCGTGGCAGAGACTCTTCCCAAACAGCTGAGCGAAGAGTATGCGCTTCCCCAGCTTTATGTTGGCCTTATCCAGTCGCTTCAGATGTATCAGCATGGTCGGCTGCATAGATGTGGACTCCAGATTCGGGCAGCTCCTGGTATCCAGTCTTCCTCTGGTGCGCATCGTCCTGGCCAGATTCAGCAGCATACGTACATTATCCCTGGTGCGCTGCTGGTAGCAGGACGCGTCCACCAGCAGCATATCGATATCGGCGAGACTCCGAGGTGGCACCCTAGGCTCCGTACTATCGACCAGACTATGCACGAACCGTACACGTTTCCTGTGGGCGATATAGTTTTCCCGCCGTATACGCATGGCCGCATTCATCAACGGTGTCTCCTTTCGTTTCCTCAGACTCATCGCAAATAATTTTGGGTATCGAACAGAGTTGTTGTCTTAAGCAACAGATATATACATATGTATATAGTATTTATATTGGAAAATAAAACTCGCAATTTTCGGGAACACTGAAATTCTATATTGTATGTATTTTTTGTTTTTCGACTCTTTCTCAATTCTTATCAACTATTGTATTTCATATTTTTAAAATCTGTCTTTCATTTATATTGTGACATTTGATTCGGTTTACAATTTTCAACATCATTTCTGCAATCATGTTTTAAAACAATGGTGTTATACTTGTATGACGGATTTTTTAGATGGACTTGTAGCAACCCTCGAACTATATCTATAAAAGTCGCAATTTTAAGTGAGAAATACAAGTACATCTAGAATTGTATTTCAGAAATTCGTGTTAGTTCTTTTCTTTAATTCGCGTTCGCATCTCACTTACTGCTTTCTTTCCGACTCTTTCTTTTTCGTGTATGCTCAGTGGCCTTTGCCTTCCTCTTCTCTCCATTTGTCTCCTATTCTATGGTAATCGAACTCTTAAATCGCTTGTTTAAAACTTGTCTACTATACTCGTGTTATAAACTACTGTTTGTTTTTTTTTCTTATGTCTTTTTGGTAAATACTTTTAACATATTAAATAATATGCTCAGTGAAGATTTGGAGAACTGTTCAAACAGGCAAATCATTTGCTCACAAATTCGTGCACTTGTAAAAAAGAAGTTTGAAAAAGAAGTGTGTTTTGTTTTTGGGTTTTAACAAATTTGTGCGCAAAATATTTGTCTGTCTGAACACCGCTTCAGCTGTTGACAAGACTTTTAAGACATGCTATACGTCAAGTCACATTTATGTCTTTTGGAGGGTAGGGTAGAGAGTATTACATACTCCTTAAAGGGTATATCTATTCTGATACACATTCTAATTGAATTTATTTCACTGCGCACATTATTGCCTGCGCCTAGAAAGTGAATAACTGCATTTGTTAAAACTATTAACGAATCATCAACTGAAATTACTTTCCTGGAAATACACTTTCATTGACTTTTTGGAATTATGAGTTACATTCACTTTCTATTCGCAAACATCAACATCAGGTATTATATTTAAGTACAACCGATAATGTTGTGCCTTCTTCTTTCTACATTTGATTTAATCATTCATTCACTGGTATTGACAAAATCGGCCGATGGCAATCCTTGTTAAAGGCATTTAAGGCGCTCATGGCCCTATGACACTAAGCTAAAAACTACACTAGAAATTTAACTAGCTTGCTAAAAACAACTCTTGTATATCGTGTGCTCGCCCATTCTCCTACAGAACTTTAAGTAACATTGTCGTTAATGGACTATTCCTTCATTGGCAGATATAGGATATAATACTGTTCGAATTTAGAGGATTCATAAAAGGCTTTCGTACTACAAATTCTACGACTGGAATGTGTTATTCAACGAATTTAATAAAACTTTAGAATAATTAGTTGCATTACGATATTTTAACAAATAAAACAGTTTTTCGTACTACAAGTAGGTGTTATTTTTCCTCGGATTGGTTCTATTACAACTATTTAAACTATACAGCTATATAAGGTCTCTGATAAACTTAATCTGCATGGTGTTACGACAAGTCTACGTGCCACGTTTAGTATGCCTAGCTGTTCTGGTTCAGAAGGTTTCAACGTTCATACAGACGAACACTAGGTTGAACGATCCAACCGATATACAGACCTATGTATGTTTTGGCTTTAAAAATACTCATAACATGGGACGTGCCAGCTTCTCTTCTGCTTTTTATGAGCCTCAAAAATGTGAACTTTTAAGCCAAGCTTTAATTTTGGTTTTTAGTCTAGTGTCATGGGGCATTTATCGCGGACGCTAATCGCGGACGTAATTCTGTTGAATATTTGCAGACGACTTGTTTCACAAATTGAACATGGCATAGATTTATATATATCTATATAAATATATGTATATTAATGTATGTATATATAGGTATGTCTATATATGTATATATAGATGTAAAAAACCAATTTATAACATAACGCTATTCGATTAATCAATAAAATGCGAACACATAACAAACAATTTGTTATCATTAGGTTAGGGTCTTCAAAACTACACTACCACATACTTAAGAGTCTCATTACAATGTTCAGTCACAAATAAATATATAAGTTGTTAATCATATTGTATCGTATTGTTTGGTAATTGGTAATTGGTATTATGAGATCTAAATTCACGGCTACTTGTTGTTGTTCTCCTGCAGCAAATCATCCAAAGCTCCATTTAGTCTGCCTTTGCTGAGCGCCTCCACGAGCATATGTAAGCGTTCCTCGCGTTCCGAATGCCGTCTTTCCAGTAATGATACCTACATGGAAAAGCATTCGAAAAAGTGAGATTGAAGTGAAATGAGAACCTTGATTTTAAAAACGAAGTTTATTTTGCACTTAAAACAAACAAAAGAAACAAAAAACAAAACAAAGTAGGAATGCAGCTTGGGCCTAACTCGAGGAACGAACGGGAAGCCAATTTGAACATAGATTGTGGAATTTTGGTTTCGAGTACTAGTTGCTCTCGGGTGGTGCCTTAAAGGATTGGGGAGTGCCTCTATACCTTCGCCTTTAGCGCATAGTAATCCACCGGCACCTTGCGTCGCTTCTGTGTGGCAAATGCCTCCTCGCGTTCATTCAGACGCTGCTGCAGGATCCGCACCGTCTCGTTGCAAGACGCCAACTCGCGCTCGTGGGCGCTCTGCAGAGTCTTCAGCTGCAATCAGAGGAATTACCAATTTGAAGGAGGGAAAGGATTACAGGCACTAAAGAAGGACTCACATCATGCAGCCGCTTGTCGTGCAACGTCCTGTAGTCAGCCTCGAGCAGGCGATATTTGTTCTGCGCCTCCTTCAGCGCCTGACTCTCCGTCGTTGCCGGTATATGGTCATGATCGTGATTCCGTCTCGCACCACTGCTGGCAGCGCCGCTGCTGCCCCCATGACCCTTCGCATCCAATTTGGCACCTGCAGTTGAGGATTTTAAGATAATTTTAAAAGGATTGTACGCACTGTGTGTAAGGGGCTTTAACTCTATTTCAGTTACAAGTAAATAAAAGGCTGTGGCCAGGCAAACAAACAATTTGCGCACCAACACGTTCCAATTTACAATTGAATGTTCGAATGTAAATCCCAAAGAACTGACCATTTCTAAACTAAATTGAACTAGAACAACAAAATTTTCTTGAAATATGCATTCACACATCATTTCTCGAGAAAATTACAAATTCTGATCGAATAGAAGATTTTGAAAACTACAAGTATGTTGTGTGGCGGAAAAGACTTCGTAATATGTGTATGCTGGAGAATTCTGCAGCAATAATAAGGTAAAGACTTGCTCATCTGGAGGTCTAGCCCCAAAAAACAGAGACTAAAAGGGCTTTCCAGGTAGGAATTGCATTGAAAGAACTGCATTATACAGTTATTTTGCTTTATAAATCATCTTTTAATAAAATATAATTATAATATTGTTGATGATTGTAGCAACATTCAATTATCTTCAGCTGCAGTAAGGATAATAAGACATTTTTAGAAACTAAGTGCAGGTTGAATAGAAATACGTTTATAGTATATTCGAGTGTGGAATTAAATAGTAAGAGACATAGTGAGAGTTTCAACAAGTATATTTCGAATTGCAAATGCCTAAGTCTTGAATATTATGCATTTTGAACTATGTTTTTAAAGTGATAATCAGTTCAAATGGATTGTTAATATGGATTGTCAACATAGTACATAGGGGTATATTATACTATATGTATTGAAGGTATAGCAGGATAACGAATCGCAGAAGACAATCGTGGCAACTTGAATTAATCATTAACCAGTCGACAACTGTTTTAGAATAATTCAATATTTAACTCGATGATAACCCGTAACCCCCATTTGTAAATAATATAGACTAACTATTTCTATCAAATGTAGAATAGTTGGAATTTTTCTGAACCTAATGTGAAACTTCACATTAACTCTCTATTCAATTAGATAATAGACTGTATGACTATTTGATTCCGCATCGGAATAATGTGGCCTGTTGGCCAAAAGAAATTTATGTAATGTTTGAAGAGTCAGCTGTGAGGTTTAAAGTTGAATTTTTAACTGCCCCATCGACTGTATAATAATTGTTTGCATGCTGATTTGGCCAAAATTCCTAGTTATAAGCAAACTGTCACCCATATATAAATATACATTTTTACATTTATACATCAATACATATATATGTACATATTAATATGAATATAAATAATTTTGGCAAATCCAATTCACAAAACAACACGAAACATGAAAGTCCAACGCCCTCTTTCTTTCTCTCTCCCTCTTAATGGCAAAGGCGATATCAGGGCCGATTTTAAGTTGAAATTTTCACAAACTAATTATATAACAATTAACATACATACAAACTAGGTATTGCATAATAATAATAACAGCAACAATAACACTAACAACGAGAAATGGACGTGTCAACTATTTATGTGTGTCTGGTTGTGCATTTCTAAACGCGTCGCATAAAATTAACTGCGATCCGCTGGCGCTGTCGTTATTGTTTTTATCGTTATTGACGTTTTTTGGCATTTGACCGAAAAAAAAAACTCATTTATTAACCATGCTCAAAGCTATTAGCAACAAAAACAATGGCAGCGAGACAGCGACAAGAAGAAGAAGACGAAGCATAAGACAACGCTAACAAGACAATAAATTATAAAACTTGCGCGCATGCGCATCGGTTTGTCAACGCCAGCAGCATGACTTCTTTTTTTTCACTTTGACTTTCGCTTTCGAATTTTCTTTTCCAGCGGCGGCAAAAAACAACAACAACAAAATCACAAATTTAAATCGACACACACACACACACACTCAGAAAAAGAGAGACAAATAGAGAGAGAGAGAGAGAGAGAGAGGGGCGTGGAGCGACACACCGAAACAAATAAACAAATGAAGCGTCAACTCTTTCAATGGCTCAGGTGACATAACTGTGATACACACACACACACACATACACACACACACACACACGCATACACTCGTATGTGCGCATGTTTGACTGCGGCTTTAGCTTTGCTTGGGATTTGCGGCTCAAACCTTAGGCCGGTCACAAATATTATTATCATGTGGGGCCATCTAAAATCTAAACGAGGCCGTCGTAATAAGAGTTGGTCCGCAGCGGCAGGCAATGCAATGATTTATTTTGGCAATTTATGTATATATGCATACACATACAAATATACATACATACATGTGCATATGTATGTATGTATGCATGTTTGTGCTTGGGGTACGTGTTTGAAGTTAACGACAACATTGCCAGCAGTGTTCGAAAAGGCAGAGAAAGTCCATAAATTATGCGTTGGCCACCAACTCTGCAGTAACGGGCGTCAGTTCATCATCAACGATTTTGTCAACGCCTTTTCGTCAATAGCCGATCGAACCGTAAAACTTACAAATGTCTACTAACGCCAAAATTCACACATGTACATATGTATATTCTACAATACTAAGGGGCTGAACCTAGTTTGTGTTACGTATAGTTTGTGGCTTCAAGGAGATGCATATCTGTTGTATAACCGTAAATGGATAAATTATTATTAAAGATAATTTGAAAAAAAAAAAACAATATAATTTTGCCAATGGATTTAAAATCACACTAGGAAATATTTGGACGTGCCTGTATAAAATAAAAATTTAAATTTCTTTGGAGCTGTTGTGAGTCGACCACTACTGACCAAAAAATCGATAACTCTAAGCGTCAACTGACCCTTAACGTACTACAGGGTAATAACTCACACACGCAGACGCACACACTCTTAGGCACATGCAGTATAGAAATTTAGAGAGAGGAAGATAGAAAGAGAGGGAGAGGGACTCTCACACACTCACCACTGCAGCTGCTTTCGCGATCCCGCTGCAGTTTCCTTATCGTCTTCTTGCACTCATCCAACTCCCGGGTTAGTCGCTGCATAGCCTTATTCTTGATGGCCAAGTCGACGCGCATGCCTCGCACGGAGCTCAGCAGCTGTGACTCCTCCTTGGAGCCGACTCCGACTGCCCCATTGCCGTAGGCGAGCAGCGAGAGTGTCGACTCCGATTGCGAAACGGGCAGCTTGGAGACATGCAGTGAGTTGCCGGACGCTAAGGCGACGGCGCCGCCCGCACGTCTCAGTCCGCCGCTCTGCTTTGAGTTTGGACGCGAGGTATTGGGCGTTGAATTGGCGGTACTGCTGGTGCTTGAATTGGCCGATTGTGATTGCGGGAGCTGTTGCTGCTGCTGTAACTGTAAGTGGGACTGGGACTGGGACTGAGATTGCTGCTGACCGAGGGGTGAGGGACAGCCAATCGTGTTGGTGCTGTAGTCGCGCGTGGCAATCGCGCTGCTGCCGGCACCGGTGCCCGCAGTCTGTGTGCCCTGCGTTGAGGTGTGAGGCTGGGGGGGCGGCGGCGTGCTGCAGCTGTTCACCAGCTGGGCGAACGACTCACTCGACTCATTCTCCGTCTGCGTGCAGTTGTTGTAATACTTATCGGCACGCTTCTGCATATACCGATCCAAGGTGCGCACCTGCGACTCGATTTGCTCGTTCAGCTTGGCATTGATTTGTTGAAGGCTTATTGTTGCCAATGAGAAACGACAAGTTTGTTAAATGATGGGGAGGGGCGGGGGGGTTTTCAATAGCGGGAACACTTACCTTAGCACCTGTGTCTCCAGATCGGCAATGTGCGTCTCATATTTGGACTGCACGGAATTGAAACGCGCCTGCACATTGGCGAGTATTTGTTGCGCCTTTCGATCCTGTTCCTTGGCATCTGATTCTAGTTGCGCAATACGCTGCTCCAGCAGCTTTCGACTATTAACATTCTCCTGATCGTTGAGAGCGCATATGCCAGGATTCTTTGAGGCCACTGAAAACAGTTATCACTAAATTAGCATACATCCTGATTCATACCAATTACCTACAATTTCCTACTTAAGTTCTTTGAGAAGAACAGAGAAGGGCTGATTAAAAAATGTTCTACTGACCTCACAAAACTCTTACATTCATTAATTACTTCAGATCTTTCTAAAGTTGGATGCGCTCTATTAATGAAACCGCACCTATGTATATAGCAAGTTCTGAATGAATCTCACTTTAATATATTTACATACCTCTCCATAAAATTCATTGTTTTTGTGTCGGTTAAAGTCTTTCTTTCAAATTGCCTGGTACCATCGTATCGTCACATCTTGCCCTTTAACAACAGATCGTCGTACTATATGGTTAGATCGACTCGTAGCTCCCATCAAAGCTTCATCTTTGAGTGGCCGATCAGGTGCTTTATCAGTAAACCTTTCTTTTCAAAAGACAGGCCCATCAAAGCTTCAACATAGTTCAAAGAAAAACTAACTATAAACTATTTATTCTGTTAAACAAATAATCCCCTATTGCCCAGTATTGGTTGTTTGTTTTTAAAATAGTAGATTAACAATTATGTTTTAATGAACTACTTATTACTTATTGCTATTTGGTTGATTTAATAAAATAAAATTAAAATACAAATGTACCATTTATCTTGGTAGATATTAGAATCGAAATCGCCTTCGCACTTACCAATTAAGGCCGAGACCGAATCGGGATGTTTGCGCATGAGTATGCGCTCCATTTCGCGACACTGCCGCTGCAGATCCTGTATGACGCGCGCATCCTTCTCCTTGTGCTCGTGGGCGCGCCTGCGTTCCGTTTGCGCCTCCTCTAGATCGGCGCGCAGCGACTTCTGAAGCTCCAACGCATCGCTGCGATCCTTGCGCGCTGCCTGCAGCTCTGAGCGCAGCACATTGGCACACTCGTTCAAATGCTGGACATCGAGCTTAAGCATCTCGGACTGCTCCTGGAGCCGGGCATTGTGATCGCGCAGTGTGCGTTGCATTTGCGATAACGAATCGTTCTGCACCCGCACCGATTCCAGACGCTCCTCTGTATCCTTCAGCAACTCCTGCAGCTTCTCGATGTCGTGCTTCAGCACATGCTCACGCGTGATGGACGAGGCAATGTGCTCGATGGGTGAACTTAAGGTGGAGACCATATGTTTCGGCGAACTGCCAACAGCTTGCTCTCTGTACATGGCCATGGGTTTGATGGGCGCTGACTGGCTGGCCAGGCACGAACTGCTGCTGCTATTATTATTATTATTATTATTACTGTTGTTGTTGTTGTTGGTGCTCGTCTCTGTTTTTTGGGAAACGGCTGGCATTGACATTTCTGGCAACTCGGTTGCACGTCGCTCTGTGGCAACAACACAGGCGCTGGAGTTGCGACGATAATGCTGCTGTTGCTGCTTACGGCGTGCCGGGCTTGAGTGCAGCGGCATTGTTGTTGTTGTTGTTGTTTTAGATGTCACCGTCGCTGTCGCTGTCGCTGTGGAGGTCGTCGTTGTTGCCATCTGCGACTTTATCGCTTTCGCCGTCCGCGCACTGTCGCTGCTGCGTCGTGGCAAGTCCAATGGTGGCATTTGTTGTTGTTGCTGCTGCTGCTGCTTTTTGTGCAACATAGCTGCCTCCGGCTTGGGAGGATGCTGCCCATGCCTGGCAGCGCGATCCACCGCGGACGCCACTCCTATGCAGTCGGCCATGTCCAGCGTTTCAATAACCTCCGCCTCCGTTATTTCTTCCATCTGTAAAAGACAATTAAAAATTGCAGAAACAATGAAATCAATTGAGAAAAATAGAGAGAGAGGGAGATGATGAAAAATAACGCTCTCAATATCCTTTATGCACGCACCTTGGCCTTACTATTCCCGATAAGCTTAGAAATTACATTGTTCTTTGCGAAAAAGAGTTTTAATTTTATTTTATTTTATTTAGAACATCAACAATAGTTCTGGCGATTATAATATTCAGATAAAACCATAGAATACAGTAAAACAAAAATATCTCATACAAGTAGATATTAGAATACATTCAAACAAAAAATACTCATAGATATCATACTTGTATTTGGTTAAGATATTGTGATAAATAAAAATGATTTTGCTATTAAGTGTAGCTTTTGCACTAATTTTTCCTATAGCGGCTTTATGAAATAGCCATCTGACTTCAATAAAATCTCAGTATATGTATAGTGAGATGATATGTAAACACTTATCAATATTACATTCTCTTATTATACGTTCCTAAATAAAAAAGTTATACTAAGTGTGATTTTTTTTGCGATCGTTCCTAGCTATATGAAAGAGTGCAGCATTATATGGTTTTTAATAAACTTGGTCTGCATATGGATAAGCCAAGTCTACATGCAAAGGATGGGATGCCAAGCTCTTCCGTTTCAGAAGATATCGACGTTCATTCAGACGGACGAACGAAAGAACGGGCAGACATAGATGGCGATATAAATGGGTTACGTCGTTATGATCATGAAGGTGTAACTATATTATAAAATCAAATTAAAATCAAAACTAATATAATATCAAATAAAAAGGCCGTCTTTTTGGAGAACATTCTGCCAAAACGGGAAATATTAAAGAATCTGTGAGTGGATAGGGAGAGGATTTTGTTTGCCAACTATTAAGATATCCATTTAGGAATTATAATATTTAACGTTCAGTTATTAAAAGACAATGCAACGAAGATGATTACGAACGTAATTCGGTTATAATATAATATAAATCATAGTTTTTGTATTCGTATCGACAGTACTATTTGTTGATTTACTAAATAAATAAATCAATAAATTATATGGAACGAATTCTGGAGGGATACACTTAAGCTTAAAATAGAATACCAATTTCATTGCTTATAACACCACCTTAGGTGTGTTTATATTTGGGGGTCTTTTTGTTTCGGCACGACCGTACCCGAACTTTTCGTTTGTTTGAAATGAAAGTGGCGGCCGCGTGTTGAGTGCGCGTGTGTGGGTGTGTTTGGCCATTGTTAATGGCATCAAAAGTACAACAACTCCGACAACTACAACAACTGCAGCATCAACAAACAATTGTAACAATAAGCGATCGACGAGCGCACCTGAAGAATTATTAACACTTCCTACGTAGGTATCGCTTTTGGCCAAACAAATCAACAACAAAAGATCGAACAAAGCCAGTCGAAACAACAACGCCAACAAGCTCGAAAGACGAGCTCTTGCACTAGCCTGACAAAAAAATAAAACAAAAAAGCCAATAGACCCTGCACCCAACACTGTTCAACAAGCGAACAAATTTGTTCAAATAGATTTCTCGTTTTTTAAAGTGCTTTGTTTTTGCTCCGGCTTTCTGAGCACAAAATCCAAGTTCTAAACAATTGTACAATTTTCTTCATTTTTCCATTCTGGTCAACCTTCTAGAACAGCTAGCTCGACCTTTCTCCCTTTTTATTTTCTTGAGATTTCTTGCACCACCACGTACTTTATCGGACAGAGTGTATCTATCTTCCACAAAAATTGGCAAAGATCAGAAGTTTTTGTGATCTGGAGGAATTTTCTTTCCCTCCTTTAAAATTTAAAAATTTTGTTTTATAGACAACAACAAGAAAAAAGGATCATTGCAAATTTTGGGCTCATACATAAATAAAATAAATCATAAATAAGTTGTATATATTTTAGAGAAAAAGTAGTTTATTCTAAAAAAAATAAAAAATGTGGGAAACTAATTTTAATTTCCTTTATGTAGACTATATATTAACCAAAACACTCGTGAGAGAACCCACTCAATTGCTTATAAAGGAGAGTACTATATAAAAACTGAGCTCAACTTCAGATACATATCAAATGTCAAAAAAAAGTACAGTCGCCTTTATAGAGAATCGCTGCCTTTATCGATGTGAATACGGTTTTCGGAAATTAAGGTTGTCTCAATCGAAGCTACAGTATGTCCAGCGCTGTGGCTTACAACATAATATTTCTTAACGGTCCATGAGCTCTATACCCCACTGTGTCCATGCCAAATGATTGTTTATAAGTTACCCTAGCTGGTTGACAAAGACTGGCGGACATTTTGATTTGGATTCTTCCTGATGCTAAAAACTTATTCGAGTTGATCCTGATCCAATTTTTCCAATAAATAGTAACAAATAGAATTAAATATTAACGACATATAGCTGATATATTTTAATCGCGCTTCGAATAACGCTAAAAGGTGTTATTTTTTATAGTCATGGTTGCATTGAAATAATTCGTAGAAGTCAACCAACATAGCAGCAACAACATGAGGAAATGGTATTTACAATAAATAGGAAATGATTTTTAGAAATATAAGGGAAGAGTATTGCTATTAATCAATTTTTTTCTGTGACTAAATTGAAAATGACAGTTAGCTTTTAGTTTTAGCTTCTCTTTGAAACTCCAGTACTAGTATCCATATTTTATTTTAGCATTAAAATACATTTGAGCTTTTTATTTATTTATTTTTAAGTGTTTTTTTTGTTCGGTTCTGTTGTTCAGTGTACTGAAAAGGGTACAACGGTCTAACAACAATAATAGCCACAAAATACTCGAATTTGACAGTGGGAATATTGAAGAAAGTTTACCAACAGCAGCAGCAACAACAACAATAACAACAACAAGATGCCGCCAAAGCGGCCAAAGCCTCCAAAAACCACCAATGCCCCACAATGTCACGTCGCAGTTTCGTGCATCTGTTTTGAAGTCTTTTTTGGAATTTATTTACTTGTTGTCGACTGATATTGCGAAGCTTGTTACCGAGCTTGTTGCCACAAGCTGCTGTTGTTGTTGCCATCGCCCACTCTCGCTTTCATCGCGCGCACTCCCAACAATTTGTTTATAGATTCTACCTACAGGGCATTCACTAAATACGAGTAAATAATATGTCTGTGTGTGTGTGTGTGTGTTGCGATAGTGTAGGTGTGTGTGTCTCTGTGTTTGTTTAGCGCCCCGGCTTGAGGTCCATAATGAGAGTGTTATGTTTGTCGCGTCCGCCAATAATTAATCTCCTCCCGCCCCCATTGGACCGTCAGCGACTTTAATAACTTCTGCCACTTTCCATTTTTTAAAGCCATTACGCTTTGTTTTTTTTTTTTTTTTTTTTTTTTGGCTATAATTGATCCTAAGAAAATAGCACACTAACAAGACCAATTGAACCAACCGATTGCGAAAACCTACCTTTGTTCGCCACAATCTATATTAAAGCTCTAGCCAGCAACCATGTTTCGTAGAGCTTGGCAGCTAAATTAACACTAGACAATTTAGAAATAAATCTTTTTAGCCATGCTTATAAAAAAATGTATACACGAGCATACGTTTATGTTTAGAATAAAAAATGTTTTTATTTCACATTAAAACAATAATTTTTTCAGTAGTCTTTTTATGTATTTATTTTCCTTTTGAGTGTTTTAAATAAGAATCGATTCGATTTTAAATCCAAACAGTGCTGTATTTTTTATACTCTGCAGCCGAAAGGTTAAAGGGTATGCTAAAAAGTCCAAATGCCAAATGAATGTAACAGTGAGAAGGAGGCGTGGTAGAACTTATTTAATATGCTTAAAAATAATAAACTTGAGAAGACGAATAGATACAGACATGTTCGTCTGGCTGTGCGTCTGTCTGTCCGTATGAACGCCGAAAACTTTCAAACCATAACGGCTAGTGATACCAAAATTGGTTGGTAGAATTGTCTCTTATCCATACGCGTAACAAGTTTCTTACAAACCATATATAGCTTCATTAATTTATATAGCTGTCAGATATACGATCTTTGCAAAAATCCTCAGCAATGGTCGTACTTATGAGCTATGTAGCTCGTGATATTCTGAAGTTTTATTAAAATCGTGGTACTATATCATACTATATAGCTGCCATAGGAATAATCGGTTCAAAAATTATTTTTAATACTAAGCACTTTTCTGTATATCTCGATATTGTAGCCACACTTGGTGTGCTTATGAGAAATTTAAAAAACCTTTTAACAAATTGTGATCAGAGTCGGGGAGGTTTATCAATAATAAGCACCACAACGTTTTTTTGAGTTGAAAAGCGGAGGCGGTACGACTTTAACACTCTATTATGTTTTGTAGACAAAAAAATAAAATATACAAGTAGAATAGAGAATGGTACTACAAATGTTGTTTGCTGCATTTTGTTAGTTAGTGAGTAATATGTAGAAAACAAATGCGGATACTGTTCCAAAATTTATTCTAAATTACTCTGTTTTTTGAGCTTAATAACTTTTGCGTCACTTCATTCACTCAATCACTTAACAGACAGTGTGCAGAAAATATTGATTCACTTAGTCAGTTATTACTGTGCCACATTGTGTTGCACTTGGCCTCTTTCTCTTCATTATCACCATTAATTTGCATTCAATTAATTATCAATTTGCGGCAATAAGCAGTTCGCGAGTCGTGTTCACGCATTTCCATACTCCTATACTCTTTCTTCTCTGTATTATTGTTGTTTGGTGTGCAGCAGGACATGCCCACGCGCATTCCAATAGCCCATGAAGCATTTATAAGTGACACACAACATCGATGGCATTGCCTTCGTCATCGGTGGCGGCCCCTTTATTGTTTACACGCCGCTAAAGTTTCCAATTTGTGCGCTCGTTGACATGATTTCTGAGCTGTGGCATCCGACCACCAGCTTGCTGATCGTTGCATGCCAACACAGTCCACACTTGAGGTATTGGTATTGTCATGGTTAATGGGGCTGGCCGGGGCTTACCCACGC